GATTAAGGCTCTCTCGGCTGAGGCGTATGATTTGGTCGAGTAAGATAAGTTCCTTCTTATCTTATAGCTTTCTCTATATCGTTACTTATACAAGTCACCAACTTATTTCTTTAATTATGCAAGGAGTTATTTAACTAATGAGGGTCGGGTTTGAAGATGCAAGGGTTCTACCGGCTTGGGTCACTTGAATCACGGGTTTATTGGATCGGAGATTTTATTGAATAAGGGAAAGCAATAAGGCCACACAAAATTATATAATTGGTTTTCATATCACGGAATGTAATCCGTGACGCAGGCGCGCGGCTTTTTTTTTTTTTTTAAGAAAAATTTTTTTTAATAATGGTAAAAAAAAAAAAAAAAAAAAAAAAAGATTATCCAGAGTTAGAGTTTGTACTCGGGTTATCCGCGAGTAATTGTTACTCAGGTGGATATACCCGAATAGACATACTTTGATAATACCCAATTATTTTGTAAGTACGTATAATTGTGAGTTTATTATGAATCGTTATTAACATAATATGATTTGGTCTTTATTACATCATCTAATTTTAATATATCTTTCATTCATGATTAAATATCATCCTCCAGATAAAGTAACTTTCTACTCTGCTTTTTAATTTTAAAATTATCTAACCTAGAAGTCGGAACAATTCAATTTCAAATTCGAGTTAAACTCGTTTTATTATTAACCCGATTTCCAATATTTCAATCCGGTTGATAGATTAACCGGGTTTCAAAAATTAAATTCGGTTTTAGAGAAACGGATCACTGATCAACTCGAATAAATTCGGTTTACAGCTGTTATAATTATTTCTGGGACACCTAATAATTTTTGCTCGCTACTGAATCATTCCCAGTTTCATCCAGTAAATTGCCTAATCTCTCGGAAACTATATCACTGTCTTCGGATCCTTAGTCTGAAGACAACGACATAGTTTCTGAGAATGATTCGGTAGCGAGCAAAAATTATCAGGTGTCCCAGAAATAATAATAACAGCTGTAAGCTTAATTCGGTTTAGCTTAACGTTAAATCGGTTATTTGATTAGTCAAATTCAGGTTTTTAATTTAACGTTAATAACTGATATGATAATAAAACTAATAACTTAAATGTGATCCAAGCGTTGATCACAATACCAATAATAAAACAATCGTAATGTCCAGATAATTATTGATCCTCTAGACAATGTGACATTACTTCCTATATAACTTGTCAAGAATACAGCTCTTAGTTACTCAGTGAAAGGTCTATTCGGTCTCAGTGCTTACTTCCTTTATGCTAATTAAGAGACACAGCGTATACTTTAATAATAAAAAAAATAGTGAGGAATCGATTATTTAATTAGCGAAATTTTATATTTTTGAGAACTTAAGGATTCGAAATTTTAAGGTAATAGTAATTTATTTAATTGATAACTTTATTCGTAACTCATAACTGGTCTTTTTGGAAAGGCAAAAAGGACCTATATTTATACATTTTAGTTCACGAAGGCTGTACTAAGTAAAGTCTATATACGATTAAATCGCTCATGTCTTTATGAGCAGTTGTTTACTCCTTCATGAGCAGTTGTTTACTCCTTTGTGAGCAGTTGCTTCGCCTGTGATTGAACCATCTCAAGGTGACATGAAGTCACACTGCTCACATCACTAATTTATGGTTTATTCGATTATATGCCTTAGCCCTAACTGCTCATGTTAATGTTTACTCTTGCCTCAACTGCTCAAGTTAATGTTTTACTCTTGCCTCAACTGCTCATGTTAATGTTTTACTCTTGCCTCAACTGCTCATCTTAATGTTTATGGGCGTAGCTACTACGGTTCTTAAATGTAAACAAGGGCATGAGCAGGACGAATTATAAATAAATAACTATATCTGATATACTGAAATAATAAAAAGACTATAATATTATTAATAAATAAAAGAAAAAAATAAGAAAACCTCGTGACTTGGAACGGGACACCAATTTACATTCCAACACAAACACTATCCAAAGGGTATAAAAACTTGAAAATTTGTTGAACGAAGTAAAATATCTTAGCAGCTAATATTACAAGGTATAGAGAATTTCTATTGATTAACTATTAAAAAAAAAAATTTCCAAATCTGACTTTACTAACGCGGGCGGGATATGAAAACCAGTTATACGTATAATTTTGTGCGGCCTTATTGAGAATTATATCATATATAAAATGCTAATTTAGAGTAAATAATTTATTTTATATACTTATTAAAAAATTTTAATAGAGCGATAGTATCTGAAATAAACAAAATTTTTTTTAATATTTTAACGAAGATTTTTCACAATTGACTTTTGTATGGGCTAAAAAAACTACAGAAATAGAGGTTTGAAAAATACATTTTTTACTATATAACGATAAATTTTCGGAAATATTATAGGTTGCATAAAAAAATTTTATACCGACTTTTAATAAATCCTATGATATTCACACCCCAATTTTCACGTCACTCTCCATAATGCCGACCCACATTACCATAATAATTCATCCCTTTACCAAGTACTTGACCCAAAATTTAAAATCTTTTAGTTTTGATGTCCAATCCCTAAGAGGATTCACAATTGTGTAATGGACGTTTCATGTAACAAACTTTTCTGATCATTATGTTACGGGATATGCTAAAAAATGACTATAAATATCAAAGCATTTGTTCGTAGTATTCTAGTATACAAGACGTTTATCGTTTTATTTTTATAACTATTTTGAACGGATTATTTAAAATATTATTTTTTATGATAACAAAAATTATAATAATTAATGGTTAATTTCTATAAATTAAAGAATTTTATATAATTCTATCTATATACGTGTTATTCTATATAAAATCGATTAATTAATAATAAAAATTATTTTACGACGAATCGTTTAATGGAATGACACCACTCGTTCTAAATATAGATAGTCCATGAAAGAAATTGCCTATATTAATAATATAAACAATTGAGTTTGTAATAATAAATATATTACAGTTGATTATCCCTTTTAATAAGAGTCGTGCACTATTTCCATTTGCATTATTTAAGGATTGTAAATTAAGTACCAAAGCAATAATTGGAAAGATCAAGTAATAAACGGTTCTAAATAATTCTATTTTAACAAAAATTTTACTATAATCGTAAATCGATTGAAAATTTAACAAACTTTCTATAGAAGGATCATTATTTAATTGTTGTCTTTGAAAAATTGAATAAGAATTAACTGATACACTTGTTGATAATGATTGTTGATATTCTAAATCTTTTTCGAATTTTTTTTTTGAAAATCGAAATAAAGTTTGTGTGAGAATGTTATGAGATGTCCGTCCTACAGAAAATATAATCATCGCTTGAAAGAATAAAGATGAAGATAGATTATATTTTTCATCAATAATTTGTTTTTTATAACCATAGGATGAAAGAACAATAACTGAAATATTGATTATAAAACCAATTATAGGAGACCATTTCTCATAAGTTTTTTGCACTGATTTACTTAAAAATGGTAAAAGTAATAAAAGTACACCTCCTAAAGAAACAAAATATAGAAAGTAAACTGTTATGTGAATAACTATGTTTATTTCTTTGAGGATGAAATCATCAATTTCTGTAGTCCTAAACGCATTTTCAATGTCTCTAAAAGCATGTAAAACAAACACTAAGAAAATGGTTACATAGGTGATTGATATTAAATAAGTAAAACAAGTAGTGAAGCAATAATTTCTAACTCTATTAAAAGGGTCGCTCATACCGAAAGATATATATATATATATATATATGTATACAGTACGTATAAGTTTAAAATAAGTATTATTTTATAAAGAAGCAAGATTTTATTTTTTTGTTAAATTGACTACGTACCGCTTAAATATTATTGTGAAAATTTATTATTACGTATTAATTATTTTGTGACATCTTACGCAGAACTTTATGTAACAAAAATTACATTTACGTATTCTATTCATATTTCCAATTTTGTATGCATAGTAATTATGCTTTACATAGACACCAATAATATTATATGTATTATTATTATTATTAACAAATTTGTTATTTTTAAAAAAGGTTAAGTATTTATTTATTATTATTCAAGTGTATATTTTATATTAACAGATTGAAAAAAAGTTATCCCGGAAACCGGGCTTTTTATATATATTTTCATTATTCCTTGGCATCAGTTCCGGAAATAATGAAATTAACTGTAATTACAGTTGATAAAATTTTATCGTTATAAAATTAATAATCGGCCGATTCGATAAATAAGCGACGTCGGCCTATATCAATAAACATGGAATCTGCCGAAACTTATAAAAAAAGTTACTTGGATGGACTATTAAACCAATATTAATTTTTTTTTTTTAAAGCTCAATTTTAATTACAAATAATAACATTATTATAAGTGTAAATTTTGGTAACCCCCGAATTTCCTTATTATTATTTATAAAACCCGAAATACAGTATTATGTTAAGCTTCGGCATCTGCCTCGCCAATAATCTTTAAGAATACTTCTTCCAAAGTGGTTTGACTTAATCCCCAATCATCTATTCCATTTTCATTTTTATGCTCTTCAATTTCTCTAAATAATTTAGCAATCAAACCATTTTCGGTTTCAAATTCATATGACACATTTGTAACAAATGAATCCAATTTTTTGAAAGTTGGAGGTAATAATGATTCGATGAATCTTTATAGAAAAAACTCATTAGAATATATTATTTAAATAAATAAAGTAAAAAAATTTTTTTTTAAAAAAAAAAAAACTTACTGTGTAGCCATATCAACATTTTTAGCTTTACATGAAAAACTTAATTTGAATCCTCTTCCATAAACCTCCTTCAATCTCAATTGTGGTCCCAAACACCTTAAAGTTCCTTTTGCCATAATTCCGATTCTATTACACAAAACTTCTGCTTCTTCCATACTATGTGTAGTTAATACAATAGTTCTACCTTTTTTTGCTCCGTTAACAATGTTCCAAATTAATCTTCTAACCTCTGGATCCAATCCAGTGGTTGGTTCATCAAGGAATACCACAGCAGGGTTACCGATTAATGAAATAGCAATTGATAGACGACGCTTTTCACCACCAGAAAGACCTTTGGAAAGACGGTTTTTGAATGGTTCAAGACGAACTTGTTTGAGAGCTTGTAATATAGCTGCATGTTCCTGATTAGCAGGAATACCTTTCAGACGAGCATAGAATAATAAATGCTCACCTAAAAAGAATATATATATATATATAAACCATAATTTAACATACAAAACTCACAAACACGTAAATAAATGTTGCATGCAATTAGTTACCAACTGTTAGGTCGTCCCATAAAATATCATGTTGCGGGCACACACCCATAGACATGTAAACTTCTCGCATATGTGTACTAATGTTGAAGTTGTTTATTGAAGCGGAACCGGAAGTTGGTGAGTATAATCCAGTTAAAATACCAATTAACGTTGTTTTTCCTAAACATTAATATTAAAATTAATATCGTTTATAAAATATATTTTTTTTACAATATATGTTTGCTTACCTGCTCCATTAGGTCCTAAAAGACCAAAAATTATATTCCTATCAACAGCAAAAGTAATATCTTTAACCGCCAATTTTCCATTTGGATAAACTTTTCTCATATGTTTCATAACCAATGGAGAATCTATGTCATAATTATTCTCAAGTACCCTCTTTCTCTCCTCTTTAACATCTGCATCCTCAAATTTTACTTCATCTGGATCTATTTTTGTATTTCCTCTTTCAAGTTCGATATCCACATTTTTTCCCTTATTATTTTTTTTACTATTATTATTATTATTACGATTTTTTATCATATTATATGGTTCGGTAAATATGAAATACCAAGGTCTAACAATACCGTACTCGCTAGGTAAAACATTATTTAAATAACCTGTTATAATTAATAATATAAAATATTCTACTACCATAAATAAAATTCCATTAAAAACTTCATTTCCTACAATTAAATCCTTTAATCTATAAGCAGGATTAATATTACTAACACTAGCAGTATTAATTAAACCAAGACATCTATAAAAAGCAAATGGAGGCCATAAAAAATATGTTAATGGAGCAGGATTATTTCTATATAAATATTGAGTAACAGAACTAACAATAATTCCACATAAAACAATTAAAAATGTTACAACTAAAGCTGTTCTTGATTTTGAAAAAAAACTTGTAAAAAAAAATGCTAATGCTATTTCAACATTTCCCCAAATAAAAAATAATATAAAATAAACACTTTGTGCTGTTTTTGTAAATATTTCCATTCTAAAAATTAATCCTGATACTATAAATATTAATGTTGTAATTATATGTAAAAAATAAAAATGTATATAATGTGTAATATAATAAGTAAAACTATTTAATCCATTCATTTTCATCATTACTAATATTTTATCCTCTTTTTCTTTTACTAATATAATAACAAAAATTGGTAAAAGGAATGAAACACCGAATGGATATAAAATTCCACCAATTAAAGTTCCAATAGGTAATTTAATTCCAGTAGAAAACACTTCTGGCATTACACGATACATTGGAGTAATACCAATATTAGTAGGTCCTCCACCAATAGTTCCATTAACAGTTCTTATAAAACCATTACTTAAATCACTTTGTTGTGATATTCTTCTTAAACCTTTAGATGGAAAAGAAGCTGCAGCAGAAATTCGAATATCCGAACCAATTTGTAAAGTATAATTCCATTGTTTAGAAAAATTATTTGTTGAATCAAATAATATATTTCCCCATGGCATTTTTGTTATTATTCCAGCAATTTTAGTATTATAATTTAATAAAGCGGGATCTGATTGATTAATTAATGAAATTTTAGGTACTTTAGCTAATTCATTAATAACATTAAGAATACTATCACTTAATATATTGTCAAATGCTTGATCTAATTGATCAATATTAGAGTAAGAGTTACTATCAAGTGGTTTTGAAAAAAATGGAACTGGTAAAAAATTTTGAACTTTGAAAGATGAATCACTGCCTTCAGTGATATTAACATAATAATTTGTATTAATATTTCCTAAAATACCAAAATCTCCGGGATAGGTTTCATTAGGATTGCTAAAATTAGCAAGAGAAAGAGCAGGATCATGAAGAGGTTTTTGACCAACATTTATACCTGGTGCTTCACGAATATTGGACCATGGGTAAGTTTGTATTTGACTTATGTAAGATAGTATCGGAGAGTAGCTGAGTGATAAATTGCTTAGCCAAGGAGAAGAAGATGGATCCGGTATAAAAGTTCTATTATAATAAATAAAACGAGAACATAATAATAAGTACAGGTTAAGATCAGAATATATATAACATAAAAAAAAATATAAATACATACGTATCGCGTCTAGTAGAATTAATCGTGCTTTGGGCAACAGGAGGTTGATAAGGCAAAACAGCCGGATAGCCATGACCGAACACAAACACGCAACTTTGAGGATTACCCGGAATGGAAAATGTCGAAGCATCGGAAGGTGGGAGGAAAAAATTAACTAACTTTATCAAATTTGTTTTGCCTGATGAATTCGGCACTTGATCGGATGGGGCTGTTGGTAGATTAGTCGAACCCTGCTGTAATGGTATACCAAATAAAGATTCTGCATTGACATTAGAGCAAAATAAAAATTCTAATATAAAACAAAAGAGAATAGGTTATTTTTACGCTTATAAAAGATCAATAACAAGTATCAGAAGACACGATCAAAATACCATCAGGGTTACTTGATTTGTTTATCAAACCTTGAACAACTATTCCCATTATACCAGCGATAGCGACCATCATGAAAGGACATAATGTAATACAACAGACATTGGTAAACATTTGTCGTTTTTGATAAGAAATCGTTTTTCGAGTCTAATAAATGAATTTAATTATAATTAATATTGACTCTATGCCAAAGAAAAATAATTAAAGAAAAAAAGTAATCTACCAAAGCTCGAAGTTGATAACTTTTCCTTCCTTGTCCGATAGTCGAAACCTTTGCAGAATCAAAGATAATGATACTACTACCTTCCTTGACATTTTGTGATTCATAAAGTGGATACATCTTTTATTAATCAGAAAAAATAAAATAAAATAATTTACAATAAAATACTATAATAATACATACCATTTTCGTACTTTGTTAATTCAACGTTAGAATATTCATCATTAGCGCTTGATTTAATAGATTTATCAGCTTGACTAATAGATTGATTAATTGTATTTTGTTCAGTTATATAAGAATTCGAATTTTCACTCGTTATCGTCAATTCCTCGAGAGCAACTATAGATTCAACATTGGATTCTGCTTCTGTTGGTTCGTTCATTTTTATTAATAGACTTTGTTAATCCTTTATTATTGTAATTGTTTATTATTATTATTATAATTATTATTATTATAAACGTACAAAAGATGCTAATTATTTTAATCTCATGTACCAACAAGCCCTTGCAAAGTAAAATCAAAAGACTAAAGAGTCAACCGATCTAATATTAAATATTATAACTTATTAGAGTTTTTAAAGTTTGTTATGCATAATAATATCTAGTGAATACGTATAATTTTCCGAATTGAATTCTATTCATCTTTGTTTAATATTTATATTTTCAGTGTACTTGTTCATTAGCTGTTAATACTGTAATATTAAATTAACTAAATACGGCTAATTAAATCATCATTTCGGAAATCTAGGAGTTTAATTTTACCGATAATGCACTCGGATTATCCGGCTATCTTTTGATTGGTGTAGAATTCATATTGAACATTTTAATTTTTTTAAAAAAGGTAGGAATGTTACGTATTCAATCCGGTTTATTAATAAATTGATAGACTTAATGCCAGTTTCAGAACTGAAATAAATTGGTCTAAGGCTTAATCTAAGATTAGACCATTAAGTCTTAACATTATATAAACTATGACTAAGATTATCTTTGTCATAGTATTACGTATGAATCGAGGCAAAAAATGTAATCGATTAGTTGATTATTTTTTTAAAAAATCGATTGTTATTAACTAATTGATTAACGTTTAAAAATCGATACGTATAATTAGTTATTGCTGTTTGATCATGTTTCATATTAAAATCACTCGATTTGTGCGATTGTGCAAAACTATTTAAATTAAATATAGAAATAAAAGATTCATAAAATATTAATTCTGTATTAAAACTTTTGAATAATAAATCACTAGAACTGTGCAAATGGACGAAAATCAGGTGAATTTACATATTAGCTAAGATCGGTGTCGCTCACTTCACCGACAGTCATTTCACTGAAACCGACATCACATGGGTTTAGGGTTAGGGTTTTATTAGCTTCCGGTATATATTTTTAGTAAATTGTCACTTGGTGTGATGTCGGCTAAATGAGCTGTCGATGAAATGATTGTCGGTGAAA